CGGACCAGTAGAACATGTCTAAGGGCCCGTTTGGTAAGGTTACTTGCCCGAATAAGCTGAATTATTTTGAAAGAAGAATGTCTTGTAACATCCATTTTAGCCAAAATCAACTTTTGGGGAGGGGGAATTATATTATTAAGGGTGTGTTTGGGTCTGCTTCTTAAAATTGCTTCTGCTCCTTGAAGAGGTAGAATTAGATATTGGAGTGTTTGGGTAGAAGTGCAGAAGTGCTTCGAAGTGCTCCAAATTACTCCTAGAAGCATTTTTTGAGAAGCTAGGGGAGCAAAAGCATAATCAATTTCAAACACCCCCTAAGTCGGAGCAAAAGAAACAAAGAACAAGACAGCCAAACGCAGAAAATAAACAAACCCTTAGACTAGCCATTGAAATGCCATTCCTAAGTAGGACTGGTCAGTGTTCACTCATCTCACGTTACTACGTTAGACAAGTCAACTATCCTAGCATGGCTAACAAACATAGTTATAACCCTTGGATTGTGCAAACATTGGAACTAAACAAAATTTACAAAAAACAGGAAATCGATAGAAGGATTAAAACCACAAATCTTCTTTGAAGTCTTGACCACCATAGTCACCTTAGATCACTGCACCCCCATTCCCGGACAGAGACGCACCCTGAGGACAGTGCCATGCCTGGGCCTATTTGTCGAACAAGCCCTCTTGGCAGGCTGCCTAGAAACCGTCACCTCTCTATTTTTTAACCTAATGATCTCCATCTTCATACCACACCCAACAGCACTCCCAATAACACCTTCTCTAACAACACTGCATCTTAAAAAACTAAGCCCCGATATTATTGCATAAAGATCTACCAAAGGTCTACGATCTATTATGCTAAAATTTGATCTCTAGTCCCAATCAAAAGCAGCAGGAAAAAGAAAAAAGCCAAGCAAAATCAAAGTCTCCTCACAGCGCCGCCGTAGGGAGAAGGAAACAAACCCTAACCTAACATGGGGGATGAGAGCTCTAATATTCTGCACCTACGTATTCTGCAGTAAAGCAAAATTGGCAAAACAAGCAACAAAAGGAAAACAAGCAGAGTTTATATTATGGTATAAAAGATTACAGGACCATGAAGACAGACTCCCACCATCAAGTTTAAGAAATTCAGAACCAAGAAAAGCAACATCATGGCGGGCACGAGCATCCAACCTCATTATGCCACTGTTAATAAATAAATAATCTGAGTACCTTCACTTATGCATTTAAGTAAGATACAAGATAATTGTGGCAAATGATTTACCGAGAAATCAATATGATGTCATTTTTTGCCCTTTCATTTACAAACTTAGCATCATTATAAACAAATTTGCACGCTTCAGCTAATCCCTGACTTGCAGTAACATATTTCCCTGACAGGGCTGGATGCTTATCCTCACCTTGCATACTGATTCAGTAAAAAAATATGTAAGTCATACTACAATTCAATTTATAAAGGTAACGTTAAATTACTATTAACCAATGAAATAGCAGAAGGAAGCATCAGAGCTGGACGTGCAGTCTAGAAAAGTTATAGGTGAAAACATGAATTGTATGAGACAGGCATGCAACTAACTTTCTTCACCGAATTGAAAAAGATCATTAACATATGATGTATGTGAAAATAATAACATTTCAAAATAAATGGTGACATTGATCCAGGACTAGCTTAAATTTATAAAATAGCACTGAGCCCATATCACATTTACAACAGATCATGATGCTACTTGCACGTTTTAGTCTTCCATTTATAACCAAGGGTATGTTCAGATGTTGAAAAGGCTAGGCAAAGAAACAAATCTAAGGGAAGTTATTTTATCATGGTTGGCTTTTCATTGTATTACTATAAATAAATAAAAATGATTAATTTTACATATATGATAACATATACTTAGATTTATCATTTTTATTACTTATTTAATAACTGGAAAACGTAAATTAAATGAGTTTTAAAAAAATCTAAAATACGTTTATTTAGTTTTAGTCTATATGTTTTTTAAAATCTTCTTTCCATCCAGTTCTCTTATCGACCCCCCTCCCCCTACTACATTTCCTTCGCATTTTCAGGGATCCAAACACACCCTATAAGTTTAATTCCTACTAGATGTGTAAGACATTCAATCTTGAGAAATCACGATTTAGAATTGATCACAACATACTTGGATGAGTCTGAACAATCAAGATACTCTCTGATGCATTCTTCTCTTTCAGCATGGCGAGTTTCTGTACAGTGGCACAAAACAGAAGTTCCTTGTGTAGCAATATTTGGCTTTCTATAAGGTTGCCAGAAACTTTGTTTGATATGCCCAAAATCTTGTGTGTTAGCATATAATAAAAGAAGCTGAGGTGTTTTTGAAGAAGAATAGATAATCCCAATAGGTCTGGCCATCGTGTAGATCTTGTTTGAAGTAGATACGACCTGAAAGGGTTAGGCCCAGAAAACAAAGATTCTCAAGATGTGTAGTCAGGGAACCTAAACCAAAGCAAATATAGTAAAAGTTAGAACTGATTTTCCAAATAACTGAAAGAAAAACGTTTTACCAACGCTATGTTTGTATACTGGAATAGGTAAGGATGGGGGGTGTTAAGGAAGATGTACTTTTGTTTGGTTTTATCTTGAAAAATACCTAAGAAGACACATTATCTTAAACCTTTTTAAAGTTTTACATATGCAGAACTTTTATCTTTTCAATGATAGAAATTATAAAAATAATGAGTTTGAACTTTGAACACAAATATCTAAAATTGATTTATTGAATTCAATCATTTCTTTATTTTCTCGGTTTCTCCACATTTTCTTCCTTGCCAAAATCACCCTCTACATTCCTTCCTGTTTTCATTACCTAACATTTTCCAGGTTCCAAATGGACCGTAAAAGAATACTCATAATAGCAAAGCTGCCAACACACAAGAGACCACCACATTTGATTTTTTTCCTTTCTTTTCCACATAGGCTCATTATTTAATACCACACATCTTCTGCAATATCTATATTAAGTGTCCAACATTTGTTGGGCAACATCAATTTATCAGATTGTCATTATATTGAAAGTTTTGGTTCAAAGAACAAAATGTTTAATGCCTCCTCTAATACCTTACATAATTATGAGTTATGACAGTTTTGTTGAGTACGAATTAATACAATTGAAGACGATTTCAACATTTACAAAGCCTAATCTAAAATTTCGTTATGCCACTTTGTTAAAGAGGACGAACGCATTACTTGTTGACGAAACATATGACAAACACAACTAATTGTGAGAAAATAAATAAAAACTCTAAAGTAAGTCTGAGACAGATTCTTTATGCAAGACAAACTCCGGCAAATGTTTTCTTTGTCAGAAAGCCGTATATGTTATATTTCCTTTCAGATAGAGGTTTTTTGTGCTGCCTATAGTAATTTTGGCAAGGATCTTAGTTAACTTATCCTTGCCAAAACAAACATCGTAGGAGATGAGTTGAAGGAGTAGACTTAGATACAAGGTTCTACCCATTGTTCTTATCACTCACTTAGATACATACCTGGTTATTGCATATAGCCATATGTGGTCACTATTTAGACCACAAATATGTGTTCAAGATTAAGAAACTGGCCTATTTATTGAAGGTATCAAGCGTGAAGGACACCAAAAGTTCATTTATTGATAAATATAGGGGGAAATGTTGCCCTAGGTTGGGAGTCCCTTATTTCTATTTTTGGAATTTTTGGGTCACTTATTTGAGTTCAATTCTAACACCACTCTGCCAAATATGACCAAAGAAAAATGGGATCTCCTTTTTGGTGATTGAAACTACCTCTTGAAAGTAAATGAATCCAAACAAAGTAATCAAACACAAAGAATTCTGCATTCGTAACCTTGTAGACTTGCAGTGAAATTAAAATATATTCTTTAATATCAAAATAACTGCACAGAAAAAACAGCATAGCACTAAATCTGCTACTCGTAGTTTGAAAATGATTGCTGTACAAGTGTACAGATAATTGTGAAGTAAAGGAATTTCGTCGAACTAAGCCTTACAGATGGCGTTTTCGAAGAGCGACGGCCAAGAAAGAGGATCAAATTGATAATTAGTAATATCAAAGATATGAAGTGGCAATGGATTTCTTCTGGTGAAGCTGAAATACTAGAGAAAACTCACGCTGAAACAGAGAAAGACGCAGCCCATAAAGAAATTTTGAAAAGACAAGTAGGAGAGGAAGATGAGGGAATAGTAGAACAGAAGAATTCAGCTAAGGCTTACCCTTGAGAGAGAGTGAGAGAGATCAGGAGCAGATGGGGTAGCGGGAGCAGGGAAGGAGTGGAGAAAGTTGGAAAGGGACAAACCGAAAACGAGAAATCGAGAATTTCAAGCCACAGCGTTGTTCCGTGGCTCCTCGTTTGCCAACACTCCTCATGTCCCTCCGGCCTCCGGCAGGCCTTGGGAGACTGCCTGCCACTTATCACAATGAAATCAGTTGTTATACCGTATGACCGGTATACGGTGAGCACTGTATACTGGCATACGGTTTTAGGCATTTTGGAAGCTCCGCATGAAACATGATAGTGGGTCCTATTATTTATTTATTTCTCTTATTGTTAAAAATTGTAATAACTTTTTCATTTGTGATCTGGTTTTTATAAAAGACTTTTTTGCTCTAAATAGGATTAAAATGTTCCTTAAATTCCTAAATGGGAGTAATCATATTTTTATTTCCTGAATAGGACTATTGTACCAATTTACCCCCAACCGTTTAATTCATCCGCCAGCACCCCTGTTTTCCCCTCACAGCTGCACACTTGCACACTTATTTGTTCACACATGCGCAACTCTTCAACATCGTCACTTTCAATGTGACGAACAGAGGCAACCAAGGGCCGGCGGCTGTGAGCAACAGCGAGCGGCGGCGAGCGCCGCGAGCGGCGGTGAGCGGCGAAGGTTTGGCGACGGCGGTAACGAGTGACGATTGTTGAAATAGGGACGACGAACAGCGGCGGGAGTTGTGCAGCGGCCACCGACAAGCTTATGTTCAGATCTACTTGTGAAATCCAGGTTTCAGATCTATTTGTGCAGCGGCCCTGTTTCTTGCTTCTTGTTCACCTTCCTCAATCTCTCCTCTCTATTTCGCTTATCTCCTTCTTCCTCTTCGTCAGTTCATATGCATTCAGTGATGGAAAACACTCATTGTTTTAAGATTTAAAAAATGCCAAATTTTATTTAAAAAATGTCATTAAAATGGCACTTTCCTCCTAAAAATGACATTAAAATGGAATTTTTAATCTTCAAAAATGCCACCGTTTCGGTTTAAATGCCATTAACATGGTAATTTGGATTCATTTTGGCATTCGGATATTAATGTTGGCATAAGTGACTTTCACTGCCAAATCTGCACCGGCGGAGGCCGGATCCGCAGAGGCGGAGGCCGGATCTGCAGAGACGACAATCGGATCTGCGGCAGTAGTCAGTTTTACGGTGGTGGCGGCTATATCTACGACGTCAGCGGCCAGATATACGATGGCGATGACTAGATCTGAAACGGTGCTTTCAGATGTGCAGCGGCGGCCAATCTGTGGCGGCTCCGGCGGCCGGCGGCTGGCGGCTGGTGACGGGTGGAGGTCCGGTGCCGTGCTTTGCCAAGCTTGAGGGTATTTCTGTACGACTCCAAAAAATAGCTCCTATTTGGGAAAAGTTTAACTTTGACTCCTACTTTAGCAATTAATGATTTATTTAGTCCCGTTTAGGGAATAATCCCTTTATAAAATTTATATCAAATTTTTTTATTTTTCATGATATTTCAAATGAGACCAATATTGCCTATTTAATTTTAACATATTATCGAACTATTATATTAACCTGTGTAAAATATGTAATTTTACGTGTAAAAATATGTAACTCACGTCCAGTCAGGCCAAATGCAACTCATGTGTATAAATATGTAACTTTACGTGTAAAAATATGTAACTTTACGTGTAAAAATATGTAACTCCCATGTATAAATACATAATACAATAAATTTTTTATTGTAACTTGGGATATGTAACTTTAGACCATTGAAATGTAAAACGTGTTTACAGAGATGTAGTTATATATATATATCATGATGTGGAGAAATCTGGTTGTGGATCATGTTGTCTTTGGAATGAGAATTGAAGAGGTTGAAAAAAAAAAGAGAAAGACGGGAACGGTGCGCAGAGAATAGAATTGGAGAAGAGGGAGCAATAAAAATCTGGTCGTGGACAAATGGAAAGAGAATTGGAGAAGAGACATGTAGTCTGCGTGAGAAAAAAAAAATGAGAAATAGCAGTAACCGGAGAAGAGTAGCGGCTGACCAAAGGAGATGAGGATTCTGGATTGTGAAAAACGGCGTCGTGTTGGGACCGGTATACCATGGCCATGGTATACCGGTCGCACGGTATAATTTGCGCAATGAAATGAATGAATTGAGATCAAAAGGTGGAATCTCCCACGCAAGAAGCCCAAACTCTCCCAAACATGATTAAAGAGTAAGTCAAGGTGACTCACCCATGGGCGTTAGAGGTCCAGTTATTTCAGGTTCTTAATCTTCACTGGTACTTGTGGGGATTCGAATCTTGTCCATTGATCCAAATTTCTCATAACCCGATCAAGTGAGCTATTCGTGCGAGAGAGAGCTCAACTCTCCACTAATTATTTAATCAATATGATACTCTCTACAAAATAATCCGAGTACATTTCAAATATAATGAAATTTTTTACTACGTATCATCTTCTTAATAAACATTCTTAATAAACATTGATTTTAGTGGATTCTAGGTGTAAACATTCATTAATTATCCTTTCTTTGTAATTCCTATCCTAAGTACGAAGTATTACATTCAAATTAGAACTACCGAGTACTATATAGTGAATTTTGTCCACATTACATTAGCACTCATACGTCACATTAAATTAAAATTTCAAAAAAAAATTATGAATTATGGGAACTTTTGTTGTCTTCGATTTGAATTCAATATAGTTTTATACATTATTTATGTAAAATGTTCTCAAAGAACATAGACCAGGCATCTACATTAATAATCATAATAAGTAATTCAAAAAAATTATATACCAGATATTTACCAGACTAGACCAGTTCTAACCAGATCATGCGTTATTCAATATTAAATTAGAATTCATGTTACATCAATTTAGAACTAGAACAACAGAACTTGTGTCAGATTATATCACATAATTATAAAAAATCCTAAAACAATCAACATATTCTATGTTACATTAAATTAAAGGCCAGTAGGATTATATTCTATGCTACATTAAATTAAAGACCAATTCTAACCGGGATTTTAGGCCAGTTGGAACTAGCCCGTCATTAGGGAAAACAGTATGAAGGGGAACAAAGCGAGAGGAAAACATGGGAATTGACCTGCGCTACAGCTCAAAAAGTGGAAATTCAAATTTGAAGCTCGTTACTCTTCTAAAATCAAACCCAACTTATTTGAGAGAGTAAGGGGTTCGTGATGGTAGGACCGTGACCATGGCCCAAACACGCGGGATTAATTAATAACAGTCACTGGGCCTCACTGGGACCCGTGAAAGAAACCCACAATCAGGCCAGGCCTGGACGGCAAATCTCGAGCCTGGGCGGGATTCTAGCGAGGCCGGACTTACCCTAGGGCTTACGTGGCAATCTATCCGTTGTGTACAGCTATGTGACATCGGCAGGAATCTCTCTCTCTCTCTCTCTCTCTCTCTCTCTCTCTATATATATATATATATATATATATATATATATATATATAAAGTAAGTGGGAAATGAGACATTTTTCCCGCTCAAAAATTTCTTAATCGTTGGTCAACGATTGCACCAGAAAATGTAGAAGTTAATACAGGGTCTTACGTTCATTGAAAATCCGTGCTAGGTAAACTGTGTCAGAGTGCAACCTGTCACTCTTCTTTCTCTTGAGCAACCAGACCGGCCTATTCCCTTACAGAGTAAAAAATTAGCCACCTAACACTTTGCTTCTTGTTCCTTTTATTATGAACTTTTTAATTCACATCCAATTGTTTCAGGCCGTTGAGGGAGCTTCGGCGAATCAAGAGAAATCTAGCGAGGTAGCTGCGAACAGGCTGTCTACATCGATTCAATTCGGTGCGTTACCAAAAGGGTAGCTACAACCGCCGTAATCAGAACCCGAACTCAGATGCCGTCCGCCAACACAAAGGGTCTGCAATGGAAGCGTCTGACAGATCTTGTTGAATTCTAAGGTGTAGAGACTGTATACCAAGCCCATTTCGTCGATGATGAAGAGGTGGACAGTGATGAAGAGCCATCCACACCACCAAGGCAGGGGCCTAGCTAATAGAGATTGACGAGCACCAAATAGGTATTCACCCTCTAATTTCTATTTGTTGCTTACTTACAGTGGTGAACCTGAGTGTTATGCGGAGGAAATTCAGGTTGATGATAAGAGCAAGTGGAAACTTGCAATGGATGATGAGATGGCGTCTCTCATATCAAATGGTACTTGGAAGTTAGTTGAGCTTCCAAGAGGAAAGAAGGCTTTACACTGCAAGTGGGTCTATCGTATCAAGAATGAGGCAGATGGTATCAAACACTACAAGGATATACTGGTTGTGAAGGGATTCGAGCAACGTTATGGTATCGATTACACTGATATATTCTCTCCTGTTGTGAAACTAACTACTATTCGATTATTGTTGAGTATAGTTGTTGCAGAAAGGTTGTTGCATCAGATGGATGTAAAGACGGTGTTCCTTCACGATGACTTGAATGATGAGATATACATGGTGCAACCACAGGGTTATGTGGTAAAAGGTAGTGAAAATCTTGTGTGTGTAAGCTAGAGAAGAGCTTGTGCGGGTTGGAGCAAGCACTGAAGCAGTGGTACAAGAAATTTGATGGTTTCATGCGCGAAATAAATTTCTTGAGATGCCACACCGATAATTGTTGCTACTACAAAAGGACTGACAATTGTTATCTTATCTTGCTGTTATATGTTGATGATATGTTAATTGCAGGAGCTATATCAAAGGAGATTGAGAAGTTAAAGAATCAGTTGTCAGAACATTTTCCATGAAAGATCTTGGAGAGGCGAAACAGATTTTGGGCATGTGAATCGAGAGATGAGGCAGCGGGCAAACTGTTTCTTTCACAAGCCGAATACATTCAGAAAGTCTTGGAAAGATTCAGAATGCAAGATGCAAAGCCAGAAAATGTACCATTGGGTAGTCACTTCAAGCTTAGCAAAGAAGACTCGCCAAAGAACAACGAGGAGCGCGTTCAAATGCAGAATATCACATACGCCTCGACAATTGGTATTATTATGTATGCTATGGTGTGTACGAGGCCAAACATTGCACATGCGGTGGGAGTAGTGAGCAGATTTATGGGAGATCCAGGGAAACGACATTGGGAAGCTGTGAAATTGATCTTGAGGTATTTGAAAGGTACTGCTTCTAATGCCTTGTGTTTTGATGGAAAGAATGTCGAGCTGCTAGGTCATGTTGATGCTGACTTGGCATCAAATTACTCGGATGGATCAAGGAGCACGACCGTCTATGTTTTTACATTTGGAGGTACAACGATCTCTAGGATTTCGCAGTTGCAAAAGGTTGTCGCATTATCTACCACTGAAGGTGAATATGTGGCAATAACTGAGGCAAGCAAAGAGATGGAGTGGCTTCAGAATTTACTTGGGGAACTTGGAAAGGAGTACAAGAATGGCATAGTTTACCGTGACAGTCAGAGTGTTACCTTTTTGGCAAACAACTCAGCATTTCATAAGAGAACCAAACACATTCGGTTGAAGTATCACTACATCCGTCATCTTTTGGAGATGGAGACATTGCAACTTGTGAAGATTCGTGGGAGTGAGAATCCAGCAAACATGTTTACTAAGGTTGTAACCTTAGAGAAATTGAAGCTTTGCATAGCTTCAATTGGCCTTGGTACTTGAAGTTGAAGCCCTGACGCTACCACGCTAAGATGGGAAGAATTGAAGAAGAGAAGGTTACGTGAGAAGTCAGTCTCAAGGTGGGAGATTGTAAGGTGTAGAGACTGTATACCATGCCCATTATAAGGTGTATAAATTTTTTGAGTCTTTTATATTATGGGCCCGCGAGTTTTCCTATTGGGGTTAGGGTTATATTCTCTTTAAATACCCGCCCTCTCATTGTAATCATCATCAGAAAATAATAGCAACATCCTGGCTTGATAGCGTCCCCAATCGTAGTCATTCTTGACGAACTGTGTTACAAAATTCTTGTGTTTTCTTATTGCTTTTCGTATTTTGTGATTGTTATATCCTAAAAAATGCAATGACGGTGGTTGTGACAGAGGCGACTGAGCGACACCCACCCGCCCTCTGCAAAGTGGCCTCCCCACTGCGGGCTTGCGTCCAGCCGGTGTCTCAGGGTTGGTGCTGGTGGGCAGCGGAATGCAACTAGGCTGTGAGACCGTCGGGTTGATTTCTGCTATGCCGGGAAACATCTGGCTAATTGGCTCGTAAGGGTGATTTCTTATTACTCTAATACTTTGTATCAATTGAAAATGATTTAAAAAAAAAACAGGTGTGAAGTTAGTATTGAATTTGTTTAAAATGGCAATATTTATATACTCCTATATATTACGGAGTAGTAACCAATGCTAAACATGTATTTCATTTTTGTTAAAAAATGTTGAATTCCAATGAGCCTGATCAGAACATAATAACTAAGGATAGAAAATGGCATGCAACACATAGTCCGTATATGATATATGTACTGATATACATGCGTACATTTGTCTAAAATATCCTAAAATACCATACTTTTGAATGTTATAAAAATATGAAAGCGGACCAAAGGCTTATGGTAGAGGCTAGGGTGTTCGCCTATGGCAAGCTTGCGCGTTCGATGGAGAAGTAGGTGGGGATTGTGTACCAGCCTCGGAGAAACTACAGTTTCGGCTAACTAGCAGCAAATGGTAGCAGTAGGGACAACCGCCCCCTCCTTCCTTTAGAAGCTATCTATAGAAAATCAGGGTTAGTTATGTAGTAAAAATCCATAAGAGTCTGAGGAATTCATTAGTAAAAGTTAGTAATATTGTGCATCGTCGAGTTTTTAATAAGGGATATAGACCTAAATAGGAGTAAAAGTAGAGCCTGGAATTGAAATAGGAGTCGAATGTTTTAAACTCCTAAATAGGACCAATTTTGAACTTTGAGACAAAACTACCCCTCCGTTCCCAACAAATTCTGCTCTCAACATAAGACACCACCCATCCGCTTTTGCAAGTCTGATAACGAGAGGATTTAACAAACAAATTCAAAGGAGAAATTATTCTGGTTGGTCGCAGTCCGCAGGTAAATTCTCTGCGATCCGCCGCTGGTTTCCGCCGGGTTATAGGCAGTGCAAGTCATCACCGGAGCAGTCGCCGACATCAGGCCGACGAGTAGTCTCCTCGTCCGATATCGATCCTCCTCCCCCAGCCCTTCTCCTCCTTCAACTTTCTCCATGTCTTCCTCTCTGTTTGCGAATTTCTTCGGTGCCGTATGCCTACTTTTGTAAGCTGGTCTTAGAGCTAGTAGCACCGTAGAAGTGTAGAACTAAGTAAGGATTGCTACATCAAAAAAATAGATTCTCCGCACTGTAGCAGTCTTGTACTAGTTTCTTTTTGTTGTTGGCTTACATCTCAATTTTTTATTTTTTATTTGCAAATTCATTTAGTGCAAGTAATACAGATTATTTTTTACAGGGTATTCATTTATTAATTTGGACATTGATAACTTTTTGCGAATTGTATTGTAAATTTGTAATACGGAGTATTATTTTGACGAAAGTTGAAATTGTTTGGTTTTCAAATTGTTTTAGCATTGTAATGAGTAATGATGAAAATGTCTATTCCAGTGTCGTCATTGTTATTTTGACAATGTCAATGTATAAAAATGTCATCAAGTCAAGAAAATGTCATTGTCAATGCTATAAAATGACATTGTAATTATGACAATGTCAATAGCTATAATAACAATGTTAATTTTATAACAAAATCACAACGTCATAAAATTGTTGTAATGTTAATTAATCACAATGATAATGTCATAAAAATGTCAATGACAATGTCATAAGAATGTCGATGACAATGTCATAAGAATGTCGATGACAATGTCATAAAAATGTCACAAGAATGTCAATCATTATGAAAATGTAATAATGACAATGTCAATGACGGTTATGATAATGTCAATGCTATAAAAATGACATTGTTAAAACAATGTCAATACTACAATATTGCAGCACTGTTATAATGTGGGGAAAATGTCACAGAGTCGTAAAAATGTCATCGTAACAATACCATTGTAACAAAGGGAAAAATGACAATGACAATGCTATAAATAATGTCATTGCAGCAATGTCAATGATAATAAATATGACAATGTCAAAAGTTACCATGACATTGGTATTGATATAAAAAATGGCATATAATAAAAAGTCAATGCTATGAAAAATTACATTTTAAAAATCAAAAACACATTATTCTCAATGAATTACAATGTCATTATATAATAATGTATTATAATGCCCCTATATGACATTGTCTATTTTGTTCACAATGTCATTGTTTGTTTTGATAATTTTGTGATGGTGGCAATGAAATGAAATTAAACAATTATAATTAAAGAAACCACTTTGATATTGAAATTGTGTTGATATATTAAAAATAATGCTATTGAAATTGTAATACATTATCATGTGATATTGTAATATTAATATTTTGACATTGTCATTGTTTTTGTCATGACAAAGCTTCATAATGTTGACAAATAAAATTCTATAATTTCAAGTATTTATAAATATAGCAGTGAGGTGAAAGTCATAACATTGATAAAAGATGCTACAAATTAAAAAATAAATTAAAAATAAACAATAGAATGAGAAAGAAACATTAACAAAAACAAACAAAAAAAAAAAGAAAAATACTATAGAATGAGAAAGTCATTAGCTCAGTAGGTCACACAATACAACAGCCTAATCGGAAAACAACCAAATCTCAATCTTATTCTCTGTTTTGTACAATCAATATTCTCATTAATATCAAATTCAGAACAACAAAGAGAGAGAGAGAGAGGGAGCAAAATTGAGTCACTGGGGGAGCAAAACAAAAACAATGGAAGCCTGTTGTTGTTTTTTTTGCCAGGGTCGGAGTCAAGAGGAGGAAGAAGGAAAAATTCAAAACTCAAAAGCGCCTCACTATTGCTGCCGGATCTGCCACCCTTACAATTTTTTTCTTCCATGACAATATCGGCCGCCGCTGTCGCCGATGAGCGTGCCGGCCCATAGAGGAGGAGATACTAAAAGAAAATAAGCCGGAGAAGGAAACTAAGCAAAAAGCAAACCAAAAAATTGATTAGAATTTGGAATAAGCACAAGCTTCACACCGCAGACATGGAGCAAAACCCAAGCATGCTGCCGAGCAAGGAGAAGAAGGGACTAGAAGAAAGAGGAGCATAGCAAGTTGAGGAGAAAAACATGACAGGCGCGCGGCTCGAGCCTGCCGCTACCGCTGCGCTCGCCTTATCTCATTACCTTTCTGTGCTGTGTGCGTTGTTCGGCAAAGCTTTGGCTGAAGTGCGTGGCTGAGTTTGTCTGCAAGAGGGAGTTAAGAGAAAGGGGCAGCGTGCAGGGTATTTAGTTCACAGGGGCAAATTTGGAACGGACGGAAAATATACTCCTATTTAGGAGTTAAAAAGTTGTCACTCCTATCGGCTTACATATCAAAAGGTGGAGTCCTATCTAGCATCATTTCTCTTTTAATAATGGATATTGTATGTCGCGATATCAAAAATAGTAAGTCCATGTAGATTGGGCATTGTTACATATGAGGATAATGGTCAACCAACAATAGTGTTTTGGATGTTGTTTACAAATAAATGTATGACAATTTATAATTTTTTCATATGTTACCTCTTTAATATTAAAACATACGATATGAGGATAATGGTCAATCAACGATAGTGTTTTGAATGTTGTTTTCAAATAAATGTATGACCGTTAATATTTTTTTTCATATGTTATCTCTTTTATATTAAATTAAAATATACCAGTTCAAATCTGTTTGACTACGTCATGGGGCTACTTATATTATTAAAATAAAGGCGATGAGTTAAAATGTGTCATTTTATATATAAGGATGGTACTAATAACGTTTTATTACTGTGATTATATTTAGTTGGTAAAGTTCATAGAATATGAGTAAACATGTTTTGCAATTCCAAAATAAGATTGTTATGTTTTTCTCTCTGAATTAGGAGTAATATGACAGTATTTACTGCTATCTTGGAGTCATAATTATTGTCAAACAGTTGTGGTACTAGGCATTAACATGAAAATATGTATTTAGTGCCATTACTTGTAGTATTTTTTTTTAATCATGACTGTAACAACACATATTTGGGAAGAAAAACATTGCAACCGTATTTTGAAATTATAAACCTGTATACTCCTATATATTTAGGACAATTTCCCTATTTACTTTCACATTATAGTGACTATGATGTTAGTTTGATAGTCACTTTAATCACATTTGTAGCTATGAATTTAATTGGGGTTACATTTTAGAAAATATGTGTGATTAATAATTAGTACTACCTCCGTTTCAAAATGATTGTCGTGTAGCGTTTCTTATTTGGGCTATCCCAAAACGATAGTTATGTTTCCCTTTTTGGTAAGAAAATGAAAGTAGATTGCCAATCTTATCCTCCTTTTTATGAAGTAAAATTAAAGGTTATATGAATTAGTGTATCACACTTTGTTAATCAAGAATTTGTGAGGAAGAGAGTAATTGTGTACCCGGCCCCAGGGGAGGATCTATGTTAGGGCTATGGTGGGCTGAAGCCCAGGGCAAAGTAAAAAAAATTAATTTTTTTAAGGTATTATTTTCACAAAATTCTATCCAGCCCAGCCCAAATTTTTCTATAGCCCAATCCAATTTTTCAGCCCAACCCATAAAACAAAATCATTCCATCTAAAAATCTAATCTAAATGTTATACGAATTACCTCCCACTTAACAAGAGGCACTTTTGTACATCGTATAAGGGTCGTAAAGCCCAAAAGGAATAAATGTAATAAATACAATAAAATATGATTCAAATATGATTCACATCAACTTGTAAAGTGTTTGAGTATATTCAAGAACATTGCCCAAAAGTGAGTTCTTGGGCAGAAGTTCATAGTGTATATAGACACTTTCCATGTTTTGAATTTGTGTTCAATTCACTTTTGTTATAACGAGTATTCTTTGTCAAGACCTTCAAACAATTATTGGATATCTTGATAGCAATGAGACATGTTTCTACTACGCAACTCATTCTCAGGGAAGTGACATAAAATGGATGTGAAGGCTTTCTTGAAGAAGCAAAGGAGTTTTGCTCAAAAAAGAAATTCTTGTACCGAAATTGAATTCTAAATATATGGTTGGTCATTGCCGAAAAGAAACTACAGTTGAGCACTCATTATCACTTTGATGTTTTCAATGAGGCAATAGACTCTGTATTGTTGAAGTTAAGGACTCGGTTTAATGATAAATCAATGGATCAAACTCCTTTCTTTGAGTGCTTCATTGGATCCTGAAAGTTCATATGTGTCATTCAATGCCGATGCTATTTGTAATCTCTTGCAAGGAAGTTCTATCCCGAAGGTTTTAGTAATGCTTTTGAATTCGAGCGACAACACTATGCTCATGAATCATGATGTGATTCATGATACAAAGTTTCGAGTATCTACACTTGTTGAATTATGTGAGCAGTTGACTAAGAGCAAAAGATCTGTTTCATATGTTATGATCAGCATATTGATTCGCTTTGTATTGATCTTATTGTTTTCACTACAACAATAAAATGATCATTTTCTGCCGTGAAACTTTTAAAGACAACACTCCGCGACAAAATGGATGATGACTTTTTTGTTAATTGCAATACACTTTATATTGAAAAAGGTCATACTCTTAGTATAGATGTAGACTCTATAATTGACGAGTTTTTTTGTTTCAAAGCTTCGTCGAGAACAAATTTAGTGGAGAACTCTTATATATTTTTTTGTTTGCTTATTTTGAAAATTTTTAATGTATTATCAATTAAGTTTTTCAGCCCAGTCCAACATGAAATCCTGGATCCGCCCATACCCGGCCCCTTGTTTGTGTGGTGATACTTTAACCTCTTTCTTGCTATTTAGTTGCTCTTTATTAAGAGGATTAACATGCATATCGCCCCTCTTAACTTGCTCTTCCACAAACTTACATATATATATACACTCCGATCCGTATATATAAGGACCCTCATCACTTTCATCCTTGATTGAGTGTATGTACACAACCGAATAAATAAATAAGAAACAAAAAAAAAAATGGCGAATAAGGTTGGGCTCCTCGCGTTGGCTGTAGCTTCCCTGGTAGCCATGGCGAATGGGCAAGTGGGCGGAAGAACGGAGATTGCTGATGCAAAGGCGAACAAGCAAGTCCAGGAATTGGGGAAATACTGCGTGGCAGAGTATAACAAGGGGCTGAAAGTCGAGGGCAGCGATAATGGCGGCTCCATCACCTTCTCTGAGGTCGTCAAGGCCGAGAAGCAGGTGGTTGCCGGAATGAAATATTACCTCCGCATCACCGCCACAACATCCGCCGGCGCCACCAAGACGTTCGATGCGGAAGTTATGGTCAAGCCCCGTGCCACGGAGAAGAAGCTAGTTACCTTCGCACTAAGGATGGCAATGGGGGCGGGGGCCCGTGGGGAACCGCCCCGTGGGGGGGAGTTGGGGCGGGTGGTGGGGTGGGGCGGGTGGTGGGGTGGGGGAGATATTTTCTCCCCGCATAAATATGGGGCGGGTGATGGGTTATGCACCCCCCGCCCCGTCCCCGCCCCGTCCCCCGTAATAATTAATAATAATAATCTCAATAATAATACTAATAATAATAGTAATACTAATACGATGTAATTAAAATAGCATGGTGGCCCGGTGGGTTTAGTGGTTTCCTATCTAATGGATTGTGCCTAATGGGTCTATCTAATTCTTGTTTAATAACTAAGCTATCTTGTAAAATTGCTTATCAAAATCATAAAGTAAAATGATTTTTGTAGGGATAAAGTAAAATGAATTTGAGAAAGTTATAAAGTGATATTAGCTTAAGCCTTAAACGCCGTAGGAACGGTGTGAAAGTTTTTTTCCTTTACTATTACAATGCATTAATTCTTTTCTTTTGAATGTCATCTTTATGATTGTAGTTAGGACTCTTAAAATTTGGTAATCATAGGTCGTCCTAGATGCCGTCAAATGACCATGATTGATTGAATGCAGGGTTTAAGAAAATATTATAGAGCTAATCAATGCTAATTTAGAGTTTGATAAAAATGACTAATTTAGAACGCATATAATGTGTTCTAGATTTGAAATGGGGTGTAAGATTACATTGACACTTAAAAAGTAAAAGTTTTTTTGGTTACTAGAAGTGTTGTTTAATTTTTGAAAAATTGTCAGAGTCTAAAATGATGTTAATTTTTTACGAGTACTTCCCCCGTTGGGTACCCGTGGGTCTAGCGGGTCGGGGCGGGGGATGGGGCGGGTCGAATAGTAGTGGGGGATGGGGCGGGGATGGGGGCGATTTTTTAGACACGGGGCGGGGGATGGGGGAGTGAACCCCCGCCCCAACCCCGCCCCATTGCCATCCCTACTTCGCACCCTCTAAACTGGCTTAATATATATCATTATTATATATTATTATTAATTAGCACCGCCTTCATCCCATCCGATTACATGGAGTATTAGTTACCCGCCCCTCCATCCAATATAATTCATCCCTAGGTTTTTTTACGGTGATAAAGATCTATTTTGTCACATAGGGTTTTTCATTAATAAAGACTAATTTATTACTTTGTATGTATGGTATTACTAATTTATTACATGTTTGCAGGTGAAAAAATGTTGTCTTAATTAATGAATCATGTAATAACTCCATAATTAATAATAATAATAATAAAAAAGATTATGCAAATATGTAATTAATAGTTACAACCTATAAATGACACATTAAAAATGCAATAAAGATAAATACAGCAATTGAAAAATTACAAACATAAAAAAAATATGTATTCATTTAGACACATAAAAAAAGGAAAAAATAATGAAATGTTCTGATTTAAAAAATAAAAATATAGAGTATCACATTATATTCAAGTGTGACTAATTCAGCTACCAGGGTTCTATGAAAAATACGACGGAGTAATAATTAGTACTACCCCCGTTCTTAAATAAATGCAACACTTTGACTTTTACACTATTCACATGTTCTACTTTGACTATGTTTTATTTATTAATGTATTAATATATATTTTTGGAAAAACATTGTTAAATTTGTCTCATTGTAAATTTTCAAAATCTAATTTTTTAATTTTTTTTACTAATCAAGAAATATATATATTAATGGTCAAAGTTGTGCTTCAGCAAATGTGAAATGTTGACTGTTGCATTTATTTAAGAACGGAGGAAGTAATTATTATTAAATGTCATATATTACTAATAATATAAAAAAGATCACACTCAATTAATTATATCATGTCTATATATTAATATTATTACTCCATCCGTTATAAAAAGTTAGACCAAAGTTGACTTTCACGTGCAATAATAAAGTCACAATGGTGTGGTTAAAATTATGCAAATCAGATAA